CCAAGAAATCTGTTCAGATCAAAAACTTCACGGAAAAAAGTATAAATATTTGTCTTTTAAATGATAATCGGAAAACTTTATCTATCTTTATTGAGAGTGAAACTCGTTTGGTAATAATTTTGTGTCGATATCATTTTTCACGCTTTTCGCTTGACGCTGCGTTTCTTCTGGCTATGACCCAAAATTTATGTAGGTAAACAACTGTTTACTGTTTTTGCTTTTTATGTACTTGTCGCTGTTATTTCATTTTATGAACATGTTGCCCTGCTGTTGCATGTTTATGTGAATGTTGTATGCTCTACTTTTAATAGCCATATATCCATTAAAGGTTGAATGGGCTAACACATAATATGACTTATAATAAATCTTGTTGGAGTGAGTTTGATATAAGTTTTTAATATGTTTTATTTATTAAAAAAACTGATTTAAACAGAGTATCTATATTTTATTTTTCATATTTTGCTTAATATATTTCATATTCTGTTGACCTGTATTGCATAAAAAATACACGTCTACACTTAAATATTTGTTCAGCAATATTTACGCATATTCTTTTCACTAAAAAATTAAAATAATATTAAAAATTGAATTTTATTCATGTGCAGCAGCATGAAAACCGCAATGCTTTATTATCTGAATACGTAAATACATACACATACAAAAAAATCGTTGTGGCGCATTTAAAATTTAGTAAAGAAAGTCGAAGAACCCGAAAATGTGTACAGATATATATGTATAAAATGTATAAATATATGTTTATCATAATTAACATTTTTATACAATTTTACAAATTGTTTTTGGAACTGCCTAACCGCAGGCAAAGGAATAATAATATACATACATAAAAATAAGTATGCGAAATACAAAAATCAAATAAATGAAATTACTTGAATACACATACAGATACACATATACAGATAGATGCTATAGATATGTGCGTATTTTTGTTTTGCGCAAAGTGATTTTGTGTGCAAATTCTCAAGGCCGAGCAAGGCATTTGTGGAGTTCATGCCAAATGTGTGCCTGCAGTTGGTTTATGGCCGGAGGCAACTGGCTTAATTGCAGTGGCTATGGCACACAACCATCGACATTCAAGCCGAGCTTGAAGTGTTTTTGTTTCTTTATGTATTATTTGGTGCCATTACGAGGCGTTTGTCATTGCTGTGACAATTTGTTAAACCCGGCTTGTCACCCACACGATCAGCGTTTTGGCATTGTTAAGGCCGAAATACGCTGGCAACACCCACGCCGCGCTGCGCTGAGCTGGAGCCCACGGTGCGAGTCATCTAATTCGTGGCCTGAATGGTCTTGCATTCATAAATTAGCTGCTCGGATACTTGGCTGCTAATGTATCGCACTTGAAGCGAAGTCGTGAGCCAATGCAAATTACTGCGCTCCGGCAAAATCAATCAATCAGCTGATCTACCCGCAGCCGCCAAGCTGTGAGCTGAGCTTGGTATTAATTTGGTTTAGGTGTCAACTGAGCTAACTGCCTACCTGACTGTCGGACTGTTTGACTGCCTGCTTGGCATATCTTATAAGATTGACAAGCTGGGATTAGATTTTGGCGTGAACAAGGTTGTCTGCGGTTATGTGGAAGCAACAAACAACATGTCTGCCCATAAATCAAATGACAAAGTATGGAAAAAACAATAGATTCCACTTACATTATAGCACTTCTTATCAAATGAAATATGAAATGAAATATTTCAAATTATACAATTTGTTCGTTCGTTTAATTGAATTTAATCCGCGTCTATGCGACGCCTTTGCATTAAGCACGAAGAGCAAACAGCGGAGCGGAAAATCTCTTGAGACTTTGAGCAACAAAAAATTGCACATAATATAATTTAATTTGCTTGGCAGCGCAGTGGAAAATGATTTTCATTTTCACTGACAAAAAATGAGAGAAGAAGCAGCAGCAGAAAACATGCAGAAACATTATGAACAGATATAAATAACAAGACATGGCTCGTTCTAGCTGTCCAAGCACATTAAGAGTCGGCCAAAGAACTCATTAAGCGATGCGAGTGAAAACTGAAATATTGAATACAGCATGGAATTTGTCGCAATAAACAAGCATCAAGTATATTCGTACTTATATATATGTATATATGTTTATATATGTGCGAACAATTTGTTTTTTGCGTTCCATTTAATAGATGTTCAACAGCAAATTAAGGGCAGTTCGGCGAAAAGCTTTTCATTTAGTTGGCAACATATTCCTGCGTCTCGCACGCAACGTGAGCAATTTTTTGCGCTGCAATCATAAAATCAGCAAGCTGAGATCTGTTTGAGCATAACCGCAATCATGACAGCTGCCAATTTTAATCGGTCAAATGTCAAATCGTCGGATAGAGACTGACAAACTGAAGGAGATGTGTGGCACACGAATTAGATGAATAAGCCGCGGAATTGCATTTGCATATGACACAGCTGCCTCAAGGGGGCTGTATCATAGAATCGGATTAGTCACTGACAGGCCGAATTGATAGCAGCATTTAGATAAATTATAATAATTAAGACTAAAGCTGATGCGCCATATGCGCAGGCAGCTTAATTAATAGCTTGCCTTTAGCGACTCCATCGCTCTCTTTCTTTTTCATTTTCTCTCTCTCTCTCTCTCTCTCTCTCTCTCTCTCTCTCTGTGTGTCTCTATCTCTTCCTCTAGCTTCACATTTACATATATGCATATATGTGGTGTATAATTAAGCCCCATGTCCGTTGCTAAGTGACCATTTAAGGGCATTGGCTGAGTTGGCTTGAGCAGGTTGTCTATATGTAGGTGTCGAGCGGCTAAACCAATCTAATAATTATCAATGAAAGATCTTTTTATTCATTAACAAGTTCTCGTTCTGCAGTGCTTATAAGGCAGTTGCTGTTTATTAATAAATATATATACATATATATGTATATTTTTTTTTTTCAAACTGTATCGTTCATTCATTGGAAGTGGCGGCACTCTTAATGCAAGTCAAGTTTTAGTCATAATTTACATGTGTCTTGCTTATGACTCTATCTCTCTATCTTGGCAATTCAAATAGGCGAACTGCCTTATAAGGCGCACACACAGCGCTAACCAAATTTGGTGCCAAGAGAACTTGCAAAAAGAACTTGACGCTGGCGTGTGTGGGCAACATTTAAGTATTATTATTATGTTGCTTTTTGTTGTGTTGTGTTGCCCAGCTAATAGTTGATTGTCTTCTAAATTCAAATCCCGCACACATTGTTTAAACTATTGAAGAATGCTAACGAACTCTGTAAGAGAATTCTGCCAAAGAAACAATTCTGATCTGTTTTTTTTTTTTGAGTTGTTTTTCAAAAATAGACGGGTCTGCCTTTCAGCCATCTTGGCCATGTGTCCAAACATAATTTTGAGGGCTTTATGACGCCCTTCTGGGAGCTGTTCGGCAGCGCCTTTTACGCCCAGCTGCCACATTTTGCAACATTTTAAATTTAGACTTGTGTGTATTTTTCTAGCGCTATTGCACTTTACGAGCGGCAGCGGAGCGTCAATAAATTGTCAAATTTTATGCATGGCGATTTTACATTTGGCAGGGATATTGCATTAGTCAGCCGAGGAGAGGCAGAATGAAGGCACAATGAACAACAGAAACTGGGCCAAGATACATAAAACTTGAATATATCAAATATATAAAATATTTCCTAGAAAATTTTCACTCTGTTTTGGATGCTTAGCAAACGTGTTTGGAAAAATTGAGTTCAATTAAATTAAATATAAATTTCGATGTCAAGAAATGCACGTTTCGTTGCGGCCAACGATTCTAGCTATAAATTTAAATGTTTCCAACAATAAATAATTGCATATCGTAGAAGGAGGTGATTTAAGTATTGTATAGCCATAACCAGAATGAATTAACCAGTGAGTTATTTTGCTGGCCAACTCATGCAGCAAATTGATGACATACTAGACCCCCTAGGCATGGGGCACAGTGGCTGCTTCTTAAGTCATACCGTATGACATGTGCCCAAGCACACACCCTCTAATAAAATATACATATATACATATATATCTGTGTATATCTTTTTCAATTGTCACATAGATCATAGAGAGACTGCCCTATCGTTCTGGTGACAAATTGTTGGCCATTGTATGAGCCAGCTATAGTCGGGGGCACATGCCAAACTTAAACAATGCAACTGCGTCGAGTCCCAAAGCAAGCAACAACAACAATAACAACAACAACCAAATGTTGATCATGTCAATTGTAAAGGCGCTGTCAACTGGCACAGTTGGGGGGCGACAGTGACAACGTCGACGTCGACGTCGACGACAGTTAGTCGCTGCGGTAGCCCAAACGCCAAATGTGTGAATTATGGCGCACAATGAGGCGTATGCGCAATTTGGCATTGCATTTTACATTTATTTAACACAGCTCCGCTCCGCTCCGATCCGCGCATCGGTGTAATTTGAAAGGCAAATGCATGCCATAATTCGTTTATATATAAACCAAATGATTTCACTAGTTGAATATATTGTTAATGGGGGCGTAGAGGTAAGGTGTTTGCTGTGCGTCTGTGTGTGTGTGTGTGTGTTGACTAGTTTGCATCTAATAAATTAGCGGCATTAATATAAAGTAAACATTCACACGCCATTAATGGCATACATGCGTCGTCTGTGTGTATGCATATGCTGGGGCAATTGTTGCTCGAAATATTTGTACAGCTAAAAGTCAAATTAAGCGTCATTTAATACGCACATTTAACTAAATGGCAAATTGCTCTAATGACCGAGTTGAATGATTAGCCACATAGTTGTCAATTAAACAACAAATAAAACAAAACTTGCTTTGCACTTGGACAGCAGCATTTTATTATTATATTATAATTATTCATAATAATATTTTGGCTGTAAAGCATTTTGGAAACTTTAGTTGAATCACATTTTGGTCGTAAAAATGTTGAAGTTTTATAGGAATATTTTTATGTTAACGCATTTTAATTGTCATTTCATTAATAATTATTCTCTTTTATTGCAGAAATTGCACGTGTTCGTGCCTCCCTATTCCAGATTAATGGCGTTAAGAAGGAGCCCCTCACCCTGCCCGAGCCCGAGGGCGCCATGGTAACGCTGAACGAGAAGGTTTATGTGCCAGTGCGTGAGCATCCAGATGTAAGTAGACACATTGAAATAAATAAACATATATGTATGTATGTATATATATTGGGAAACGATCAGCGATGATCTAATTTATGAATCGAAGCACATTTGAAGCGCTTCCGCTAATTAGAATTGACAGCGCGGCCTGCTCAATGGGCCCCAATGAGCAACTGGTACACCGGAAATCGCTTTAAGGTGCGCCCTCTAACAGTGCCCAAAGAACACGAGACGCTGCCAGTCAGTTTGCTGCTGCAACAAATGGGCGGTTAGGCAACACTCTGGCAGACACGCACACGTATCTAGAGGGAGAGCGAGAGGGAGTGGGAGAGGGAGAGAGAGATAACACACCTTTAGACAGCTGATGGAATCAGTCGGCTGTTAAGTTGTCCAAAACATGGCAATTGCCTCAGTACGGCGGGGCTCGCCTTAAGACTCGCCAAATGCAAAATGCGTATCAGTTCAGTAAGCTGCAGGCGAGCACACACACACATGTGCATATAAATATGTATGTATGTGTTTTAAATGGGTTAGACAAAATCAGTGAAGCGTTTTAGGAAGTCGCTTGACGTCGTCGTCGTCGTTGTCGTCGTCCGTTGTAGGCGTTTTGTTTCCCCGCCTAGCCAAACGCCATGGCAAATTAGAATTTGATTTAATTTTATGCAATTTCAAATGCTGTTTTTCTCATTTTAATTTGTTATTGTTGTTTTGTTTTCATTTTGGAAAATGTTTGGGCGTAGTTTTGCCTTATTTATGGCTGACAGCATCACGAACCGAGAACTGAGTGAATTTATTTCATTGCTTGACACAATTAAAGCATGTCTTTCAATGAGGGGCAGTGCGTGCTCCATATAGCCGTCTATTTGTCTATTTGCTATATATATTTATATATTGTATTGTATATTGTATATATATATTCAATTTATAAAGTATTTATTGGCTAATTTCGAAACTCGACACTACTTAAAGCGCTCGATATGCAAATATGCTTGCTTTAGGCTGCTAATTAGTTAAACACGCTTAAACCTGTGGCAAATTCTAGCTGGAGGTTAAAGTTGTCGAAAGTTGAGACTATTAGTTACCCTATAGTTTGAGACAAAATGCAAAATAATACCTACAACATATATGTAAATATAATATATATATTTAAATATTTAACGATTATGTCAGATTGACATAGGATTCGCTTGAAAATTTCACTGTGTATTGGCTTGAAAGCTGAGCTAATTCAACATGTTTAATGTCTCTAGGGTATTAAAAATTAAACATTATTTAAAATCAGCAACTTCTACTTAATTAATTTCAGCCGCTGCATTGCATAAGCCTTAACTTAACCGTTAAGCAGCAGAAGCAGCCGCAGCAGCAGCAGCTCAGCAACTGTTTTGCATAAAGTTATTGAGTTTTGTTTTTTATGTTGACTTTTTCTTTATTTTGCTCCTACAAAGAGCAGAGCGAATTGATTTCGAACGAGGCAAGTCATAAATTAGAAAACGAACATAATTTGATGCTGAAACAGAGCAAAAGGCTAAATCAAAGTTGCTTTTGATGATGCTGTTGCTGTTCTTGTTGTTGTTGTTGTTGTTGCTTGAGTTTGTGCTTTCCAAATGGAAATTGGCACAACTCGACCAAGATTTACGATCGCAGGGCATAGGTTTGTTGTTTATATATAGATAAATTTATTTGTATTTTCTTATATAAAATATGTTCAATTTTTTTTTATATCTTTTGACTATTTTGGTTTTTGATATTTCAGGTGTTCTGTGTATTTCGTATTCTTCTATTTATATGCCCATCGACCAGCTGAAGATTTTTGTTTTTGTGTTTAGCGCTGTGACTGAGCGCGGGTGTGTGTGTGTATGTGTGTATTTGTGTGTTCAGCATTTCGATAAATCATTTCATTTAATTGCAATATTTCTAGCTCGATAGCTGAACATGAACATTTCTGACATTTTTCTGCCGAATGAGCGAAGCCAAATGTTTCTAAGCAAGACAAATTGCGTTTCAGGTCGCCAGGCAGGCAAGAAAATGCAACAAGTTTTCACAATGTTTATTGTCCATGCAAACACACACACACACACACACACATACACACACACGCACACAGTGATAGATATGTTTATATATAAACACATAATATATTGTTTATACATATTGTTTAGCCTCGTCATTGCTCATAAATTTAACCACTCAGAGTCGGACACAGCGGGCAGCATTAGCCGAAACGCTTGCACGAAAAATAATAGCAGTAAATAATTTCAGCCATATTTAACAATGTAAATAGTGATTTGTCAGCTGGCTGACAAGCGGCAACAACGAACGCCATGTAAATGGACAACAATTTGTCAACAAGGCTCATGTCTTATGCGAGTGCATCGCATTGCATTCTGTAGGCCTACAAAATGCAGTCTCTTTTATTGCGCTCAATTGTTGCTGCTGCTGAGTGTGTCCAAAACATAAATACAACTTAATTAACGTCAACAGCAACATCTGTTGCAAGCTAGCCACAGTAGCAACAACAACAAAGGCATTTAACAGTTTACAATTAATTACTGAACTAGCTATTAACACAGACAAACTTGTATATAAGGCATAGCTCCAGTTGAAGCTGTCCCACAGCCCAGTATTTATTTCAAATGCACTCTCTTCTCTCTGTCTATCAATGTGTCCGTCTCTATCTGCTCGCCTGTCAACATATTGCTCATACGCCCCGCGGCGTTCGCCGCGCGCAGAACTACAAGCTGTCGTTTTATATACGTTCGAGATAAGTCAGATAAAAGATGAAACTTTTATTAAAGCTGCCAAGCAGCTGTTTAAATAGTATTAGCTTAAGTTTCTTCGCTTTTAGTATATAGCTATTCAAACGGTTGGCAGTCATGGCAATAGCTAGTAATTGTTGTCGGGGAGCTTGTAAAAATAAACAGATTTTTAAAAATATTTAAATAAATATGTAGTTGAATTTAATGAAAGCCCTTGCTATACAAAATATGAATAGACAAATATCTACGCTGATTGCAAAATAATAGGAAAGGGGACAACAATTAAACAAACAAAACTGTTTTAAATATTTTGGCTTACCGAAAGGAAAATACAATTTAAATGGGTATAAATAAGTTTATATACATATATAAGTTTACAATCAAGGCTTTGAATTGACTTGGCTTAAGCTTTACATAGATTCTGATTGGAACTATAAATGAAATTAATACTTGTGAAATTTTCTCTGTTTATGAACACACTATAGCCTTAATATTCAAGCACCTTCGGAGTTTTAACATTTCATAATTCACATAGCTGGCTAAGCTGAATGCTATGCTAACAGCTGTTGTCCATTAGCGGACGTTACTAACTGCTAGATTATTTATGTTAAATTGTTTGCAACAACAGCAGCAGCAACAACAGCAGTAAGTGAGCTCAGCTCATTTGTCGCAACAATTTGCAAATTTTATGCATTGTGTGAGTCGTAAATATATTGGCAATTAATCTGAAAACTGCAACGAATTGGTCATGAACATAGAATGCTAATTATGTGCAACAAAAAAATGCTCATTTCAATTTTTGAGTTATTTAATAAGTAGTACAACAGCTTACAGAGGGGAGGGAAGGGGAGGGGAGCTATTTTTTGTTGTTGTTAGATGTCAAACTGTGATTTATTTTTCCGCGGAATATAGACATACTTTTTGTATTACATTCGCGTATAATTAAGCACACGCACGCACACTCATACTCACACTCAGATTTGCACTCACACTCACACTCTTATGAAGAGAAGACATATAGATTGTATGTTCGTTAAAATGTACTTATACAGATTTGTAATCTATTTGATCTGCGCCGCCTGGCTGCCTAGTTTTGCATTTTTTGTTTCCACTTAACTGGCGGCTAATATGAAAAGATGTTTTGCTGTTGAAAACTATTTGTAAAACTGTTGCGTCCATTTGGCTGCGTGAAAAACCTGAACTTAAGAAACAATTCATTTGATATACATATATGATATATTGACTATGTTGAGAGTACTATGTACATAACATATATCAATTTGATTTTATTCTGTGTTGTCTGATTCTGAACAACTGTCACGTGCTGTTAAGCGGCTTTTGCAATTGTCCGTTATTATGATGGCAGCCATAGCAGCCATAGCCGATTTCCATATTGATTCATTAATTTTTAAATTGGGTCCATGCGCGTCTTTCTCTCCTTTGAGGGCGACCTGAAAGAGTCTAAAAAAAGCATCTTATGCCCGCTGCTGCTGGCGGCTTATCAATTGTTTGCGCTGCGAATACATATAAGTATTTAGTACATAATGAAATCATTCTTATCGCTGCTCACAATCAGAGAGGAAAAGCAAGAAAGTGTGGAAGAGGGAGAGAGAGAGAGAGAGAGAGAGAGAGGAGGCTGAGAGCTCCTGTTCCAACAACTGTTGCCTCTTTTGTCTGCTAACAGCATTTTTGAGTTGAGTAAACAACAATATTAATAAATACTGTTGTTGTTGCTGTTGCAGTTTTCCACTTGAGTCGCATAAGTGCCACTGCACTGATTTCATAATTGATTGGAAATTAAAGGGAAAGCTCTTCACAATTGATTAACTGGATTACTTTTAATTTGCCTGCGATTAAATACTTGATATATTTGAACCCAGCTTTTGTTAATTATCAGCATCGAGTGTCGTGTGTTATCGTTAAGCCAAAAGAATTCGATTATTAATTAATTGCCTGAAACAGTTGCGAATGCAATATGTATATTCTCGTGGAAGGAAACCTTTTCATGAAAAGTTGTATTTTACGCTTGTTCTGGCTCTTGCTCCGGCTCTGTTTCCGTTTTCAAACGAATCCGTTTAAATGCACATTGTTAAATTCTTAATTAAAATTTGTGCACAGCCATTAAGCCGCTAACAGCATTCACGCATCTGCAGCAATTTTCAATTGATTTGATCTCAATAGTTGCTTGCAGCAATTGCTGCAACAAGCAGCGAACAGCAAATGCCAATAGATATATATGCATATGTATAGATTTATTTATCTAGATAAAGATTAATATACTTACATACCCGACAACAACGAGTGCTGCTGTTGCCACTCACATCATCGTCAATACAACAACGACAACAACAAGAGCAGCAGCAACAGCACATATCACATCATCAGTTTGGAAATAAAAATAAAAGTACTCTTGCAGCGGATATTATTAATTTGTCATCCAATGTGTAATAATACAAAGGAAGAAGCTTTTAATTTTGAGTCTATATATAAATGATCAGACTTGAATTCTGAGATTCTAATTCTTAAATTTTACATAGGGGAAAGCAATAAAAAAAATGGAAAAAAAAATCGGATAAAAATTATAAAAAAATCGAAATCTAATCGAAAAAAATTAAAAGAAGTACTGTCAAGACTCGATAATTCGTACCCCGCTAAATAGAAAATCGCGATAAATCGAAAAAAATCTGTATCTGTGTAATTTCCGTGTACATCGAAAAAAAGGGGAAAAACAACTGATACTCTTGCCATTTCAAACTATTGGAACTCTACTGTATATATTCTTATAAACCTTTTCACCAACATCGCTTCAAGAACATTTTATAGAGTATATAATATTCGCGTTGACCCACTTAGCCTTGCCTTTTTGCTAATAAAAGCCAAACTGCGCCACATTTGGTGGGTGGTCGCCTCAGGGGTAGAATTGCGCCATTTTCAATATATATACGTATATACATATAGAAAAACCTTTATACAATATAATTGTCTATATAATTCAGGTTAAATTGTTGAGATATTCGTCTATGAGTGTGCCTAATAAATCTACAATCTGATCGTCTAATTTATGAGCATCAACTTACGCTCGAGGGCGTGGTTAGAGCGCAGGCATGAAGCATATGATAATTGGCTGCTGGCTCATCAATTACACAGCTGTTGGCAAGAGCTCAACTAGCCGGGCCTCAACGGAGCACCGCTCGCTATCAGTGTGACCTGTTGTCAGTCAGCTATCGACCGAAAAGACCTCCCTCCTCTACTGGTATTTGGTATTTGAAATGCCTTTGACTGTTGCCGCCGCTAAGCACTCGCTCATGCTGCCGTTGCAGTTGGCAATCTGGTTGGGAGTCTGGCTGATTGGTTTATCGTGGCAAATTCAGGCGTGTCGCCTTAGGTCATATTACGTATTTTGTGCGCTTGTGCATTTGTATTTTGATTTTTTTTTTATTTCTCTCTACTTTGATTATAATTTTGCTGGCGCTCGACTCAACTCGACTCGACTTGGCGAAACAGAAAATAATAATTTTGACTTTGAAAGAATGTTTTGTGCATTGAATTGAATTTGGTTCATGAGTCAGCCTTGCCATTAATGGGTTTTAAATTCATATGAGATCAACTTATGGCATTAAGACATTCAGCTTAATTTGTTATTATTATTATTTGTATATTATATTTGTTATAATTGTTGCTCATTTCCTGTCATTTCTTTCCGTTTCAGTTCAACTTTGTTGGCCGCATTTTGGGACCGCGCGGCATGACAGCCAAACAATTAGAACAAGAGACTGGTTGTAAGATAATGGTACGCGGCAAGGGCTCCATGCGGGACAAAAAGAAGGTGAGTTCTATGCACAGATGCTATATATGGGAGCCTCAAGTCCAGAGGAGTCATGAAAAACTATAAAAGCAATTCGAGAGAAATTAAAATTTCATTAAATAAGCACTTTAAATGCCAATCAGCAGTCATCCTACCGCTGCATAGTTTGCATGCCAATCTAATAGCCCCAATCACCCACGCCGAGAACACACATACACACTGCACACACATACATACATAGCTGGCTATCACTATGCAATCAAAGCACATTTCAGATTCAATTTAAGATGGTATTTTTCTGACGAAAATTTCGGTTGACATTCGGTTTCCGAGCCAAAATGAAAATGATTCTCAATTAAGAGACAAGTTTAAGTCCAAAATTTAATAGCACATGAATAATTGAGTAGTATACATATAAGATTAGCAGCCAACAACAAGTGACAGTTCAGATGGCAATGTTTCTTAAATAGAAATATCAAATGTTAGATAATATAAGTTTTTCATTTCATTTAATTCTAATATCTAGTCAAAAAATTTGTCACTCCTCAGCACTCATGATGATTTAATTTCCTCTGGCGTACGTTAAACAAACAAGAAAATAAACAGAGCTAAGATGATTAAATGTATTTTCGTAGTTTACCAATGTGGAGCGCATTTTAAGCAAACACAGGCAGAGAGAGATAGACAGAGAGAGAGAGAGAGAGTGAGAGGAAGAGAGAGACATATACAAAAAGTCAGAGCAGACAAGCCATATAAAAGTGAACACTTTTATAGCATTGCAATATTTTGATAATTTAGTAGCTATACACAGTGAGTGAGCTGACACCCACTCAGGTGCTCAGCGTGGACTGCTTGCCTGGCTGGCTGGCTGACTTGCTGATATAACGTCAGCCGAAATGTGTGTGTGACTCATGATATTTTCATGAAAATGACAAGCGAGTAAAGCCAGCGAAAATGTTTACTAGCTGCAGTCAAACAAGAGATAGAAATACAAAAATATCTACTATATACATATAAATATTTTGCAGCAGAAACCCCTTTATATATATAAATACATATAAATCAGTTTCCATGCAACTGTTTGAATCAGATGTGTCCACAAAGTTGGCTCATTTTGCCGCTTGACAGTTCGTAATTTGACAAGTGGCTGGCTGGCGGCTCGAAATTAGCCAGGCACTGGACTGGCTGGCTGACTGACTGGCTGGTTGGCTGATGAGCCAACTTCAAAAGCCAACTAAACTGACAGTTTGGCCTGGCACTTTGAGCTTAATTGATTAGAAAATTTTCAAAATTATATTTAAAAGCATGAGCAGTTTCCATGCATATAAATAATGTATATATTTAGTGCTTTCTTTCGCATTTTGGGTCAAAAGTTAATGAGCTGAACAAGTCGCGGGAGCCTTGGGTTAAGCATTAACAAATATCAGGCACATATTCTCACACATTTCGAGCGTGACAGCCAAAAGTGCCTGCGGGCATTTGGCGTGGCCGCAAACTAAAACTGCCTCACCAGAATTTTCATATTTCGAGCATTTCACAAAATCCACTTTACTGTGTGGCCACAGTGAATTGTTTGCGGCCATTAACGAACACATGCGCTACAAAACGTCCTCTGGCAATGCAATTCGTCCATATTCCAACTACACTTTGACCAGAATGAGTGAAATAAGAAAAGCTATACGTTTTTATTGGCATCCACATTTGCCGGTTTCTGTTAGTGTGGCTATGACGTTCATTGCTAATAAACTGTTGCCGCTTGTAGTTGTAGTTGTGGTTGTGTTTGCGGTCTGCGAAGCACTAAAAGAGTGATATTTATATATACGAATATAATTTAGATTTATAGCTATAATCATTCAATCATAAATAGTTATTTTAGAGAAAAAACTTAAACTTAATCAAACTTCCCATAGGGACTTGCAGTCTTTACTCCCAGAATTCAAGTGAAATCAATATATTCTATATAATAAAATTGTTTCTATGCCTTGCAGGAGGATGCCAATCGTGGCAAGCCCAACTGGGAGCACTTGTCTGACGACCTGCATGTTCTGATTACCGTCGAGGATACCGAGAATCGCGCCAAAGTCAAATTGGCTCAGGCTGTCGCTGAAGTGCAAAAGCTGCTCGTGCCGGTAAGTGGATGCGTAATACCTATAGCAAATGCCAAATGGCATTCTGCAATTCTATGCCCAACTCTCTATTCCCTTAATAAAAATAAAAAGTAAAATTAAATAAAATTAATGCAAAATACAAATACAAAACAAGAATTGAGATGTTAAATTGTTGGCATGTATTTAATGCCAGTTGCCTATTTAGATATATTGATTAATCAATTTGCTGTACCTATCTATCTGTATAAAATCAATAAATAAATAATTATCTCATTGCTAAAATTGTTAACCGAAATATTAATAATAATTTTTTTTTTTATATTTTCATTTCTTTTACCAATCTAATATGCTTTGATGTATTTTGTTTAATACATTGAAAAAATATCTACTACCACTACTACACCAAAACAAAAACCAACCCACACACATATATACACGCGCCAACACACACATATGCGTACGCGTACTTGTACTAACAGCAAGCCGAAGGCGAAGATGAGCTAAAGAAACGTCAACTTATGGAATTAGCCATTATTAACGGCACATATAGGGACACAACGGCGAAATCAGTCGCAGGTACGTCAATCAATCAAGATCTACATATAAGTCAACAAATATTTATACTCAAACAAAAACAGCAAAAGAAGCAAAACGAAAACAATAAAAAAAAAAGAAACAACTTTTGTCTAATACCAACAGCTAATCCCAGTACTGACCAAAAATAAATTAAATGATTAAACATCCACCCGGCTTTGATAGCAATCTGCAATGCGTAATAGCTATGTGCTCTATATAAGCCAATCGAATTCGGTTGCGATTGCGATAGTCATGCTTTCTAATCCGTCTAACCAATAATGATATAATGAATATGTTTTCCTTTGAATTTACATGGATTTTCTATACGGACAGCTTTCTCATGCGTTGGTTCTCCTTCTGCTTCTGTTCTGTATCCCGCAGTGTGCGAAGAGGACTGGCGCCGTTTGGTTGCTGCATCGGATAATCGCCTGCTGACACCCACATTATCGGGACTGGCCACCCAGATACGTAATCCCGCCAGTGCACCGCTCGGCGCACCATTGATACTTAATCCACGAATGACAGTGCCGACATCTGCGGCCAGCATACTGTCCGCCCAGGCAGCGCCGACAGCCGCCTTCGATCAGACCGCCCATGGCATGATCTTTGCATCGCCATACACCGACTACGCGAACTATGCAGCACTGACCGCCAATCCTCTGTTGACGGAATATCCAGATCATAGCGGTGGGTTATTTGCTAGATAAACTACTTAACTACCATATCGTATCTCTATAACTACAAATTATGATTTTCAATCAGCTAAATATTGATTCAATATACTCTTAACTATATGCGCCATAACTGTTGACACCAGCAAAAAAACACACACAAAAACATGCACACACACACATCATTTTGAAAATTACACCAACAAAAAAGATACAAGAAAAAAAAAGTAATATATGAACATCTAATAAGCCAGTTTATGAGGCGAGTCATCGATCAATTGAGCTATGGTTAGCCAATGTTATTAACTTCTATTACCGAGCCAAACTGCGAGCAATAATACTTACTTACAACACTTACACAAACTCATGACAGTTTAAAGTTAGTCAACGACTAAGCCTTAAAATCAATTATTATTTGAGCAAAAAAGAAAAGAAGCAACTTTTGATTTAAAGCGTTTACAATTCCGCTGAGAATAGTCCATAAACTTGTGCACATTAAGCATACGCCCAGTTGCATGTTCAATTTATTAGCCAGCATTATTTCTTGTTAATTTATTTGATTTTGCATTTTCAGTTTGTTTTATAACCAAAACATCGCCATTTTATATTTATTAACTTGTTATTTGTATACCCTTGCAGAGGTAACTATGCGTATTCATTATTTTAAAGATGAAAACATAGATTCCATATTATTTAATAGCAATTTTTTATTTTATTCAATAGCAGACTATATCTGTCTATATAGAAGTCCACAGCTACAGTTTTTCCATTTAATTACCTTTAGTTTTCTGCAAGGGTATTGCAATGTCGGTGTCTTGGCCGAATCTGTTGCTGCTTGTTTATGATACAATATAATTACGGTTAGATTTGTGCAATGCCTCAAAGTATGCAATGCAAATTTCGATTTTTTTCGCACGCTCTAACCCTTTGCATCGCTTGCTTTTGATTATAATTTTGATTTTAACTTAACTCGATTAAATTTTCGTGTATTTAATTCTGCATGCACCGCACAGCTAACGATCACATTTTTAATATATATCTATAAAAAATAATAATTAATTTCATTCTTGAATTTATTCCTTTATTCTTTTAATTTTTGTTTATCTGAATTCTGATATCAAAAAATATTTACAGTTGGTCGATATATGCATGCCGGCTCCGTCTTTTGAACTTTTTTTTGTTTGCGTGCACCAAGAATTTATTGAAGTCCATATAAATCGTTAGTTTTTAGTACCAGCTTAAACAATCTGTATATGTATTTATATATGCATATGCATCTATGTATATAAATACAGCAAAAAAGAAGCAAGATTCTGCCGTTGACAGTGCACAACACAGGACATATTCAAAACATATTGAACGTAGTAGTACTACATATTTAACTATAGCTACGTATATACATAAACACACACTTGAACATATATACGATTATAATTTATTTAGCAATGCACAACAACAACAACAAATACTCAAGTAAACAACTGCAGCTTCTCTGTAAGCAACAAAAACAAGAAACAAACAAACAAACAACTGAAAATATTGAACAAAAATGAAAGAGAATGAAAAACAAGTTACTCAAGTAAATATGATTATTGCTCGTCGAGAAATTTTTTGTTAGTTCATAGGTCGCAAACATTTCTAAAAAACTGGCAGCTAACGATTGAAAAATAAGTGATTTTTAGGCGCTTAGAGACAGATTTTTATTTTTATTTTAATTTTTTGGTTTTTTATTTTTATAATTAATGTTTTGGGTTTGTGTTTCGTCAGCTCTCTTCAAACAATTTGCAAATTTTCTACTTCGGAACATGAGTATATTCTAGTTGACAACAGCTGCAACAGCAACAACAATGACGACAGTGAAGCAATTTGTTGGTTGTTGTTGTCGTTGTTGTTTTGGGAACAATGAGTATTCTACTTACATACATACATACATAGACATGCATATTACTTAAAGCCTTCAACCAAGTTGCTGCAAGTTTTTTGTTTAGCCATTTAAGTAGTATATTTACAGATGTCTATGTTTTCTAGTTTTCTATTTATATATATATATATATTCACATACGCTTAGGTCTTGAATAACTTTTGTTATTTATTTACACTTCTTTTTGATTTAACGGTGTAGGTTAATTTCTATTTGAGTTGAATTTCTTAGACTTTTTTCTTTCTTTTTTTTTTTTTGTTTCCTTTTTTGTTGGGTTTTCTATTTTAATTAAGTGCAATGTCTAGCTAATAGCTAATTAGTTTTGTGTGGTAGCAGTTAAGCGCAGTATTTATGCACAAGTGTACCTTACGACAAGTTCAAGTTAAACATTTGATTTCCGTACCGTTTGATTTTTTTCCAGTCAGTGCCATTTATATTTCGTTTGGTAGTAATTGGCTAACAGCCTCACGTCGATTTTTTATAGCATTTTAAAATATATTCATATATATAAACATATATATTAATCACTTTATATGTAGTAGAGTATAGATGGAGCCTTGAATCGAGTTGGTGCTTAAACATTTTTGTAGACATAAGTTAGTTGAGGTTCTCAGGCAGCCGTCCAACAATATTTTGCACAACTAGTCAGCAAAAAGCGCGCATCAAATCACCAGACAGACAGACAGCTGGAGGAATGCTAAAGAACTGTAAAATCAATAATAATAATAATCATAATAAGCATTTATGTGTATATTCACATAAATGTACTTAGATATTCTGTAGGCTAGTTTGAGCTGAGCTGCCTTAAAGATCACTTATTTCGTCGACGTTAAATCCAGTAGCAAATCAATCAATAAGTAAACCAACATAAATACGACTCATTCCAAAGAAACAGAATTTAAATCTAAACAAACAAAGCAAAACAAAACAAAACAAAAGAAAAGAAAAACAAGTGCAATTAACAATTTACAATAAATGTATTTAATTGTTTTAATTAATTGAAATTGGTATTTAGTAAATGAAACAGTGTCAGTGTTCCAACAGCAAATGCAAATTGTGTGTTGTTTGAAAGAGGAAGAGGAGGCAAAAAGAGCAAGCATAAATATATATTTCTTTCAATTATATACTATTATACATATATAAGTTTTGTAGACGATATACATATATACATACAAGCATACCTGTCCACCTGTCCAGCTGTCCACCTGTATACCTGTATGTATATGTATATATTTATTGCCTTGAATATTATATATATAATCTCTATATACCAATATAAACATATATAAATATATATCTATGTATATCAATATATATATTTATTTATGCACATATCTACATGTATCGTATCGTATATTTTAGTAGGCGCCCTTAAGCAGCAACGTCGTTTGGCGGCTAACAGAGAACACCCCTATCAGCGTACGACGGTCGGAGTGCCAGCCAAGCCGGCGGGTTTCATTGAAATTCAGTAAAATCAAAAACAAAAAAATACAAACGAAGCACACTAGCAACGACAGCAAAACAATTTCTTGTTTTATCATATAAAAAAAAAAAAAAACATTTTTTTAAATCTTTTTAAAAATGTATTTATCTAAACAAATTATTTAAATTTTATTTCTCCAAATGCTAAAAAAAAAGAACGATGAGTGTTATCGTTGGACCGCCATTATTGTAAAAAAAAAAAAAAAACATTGGTCCTCAATCAATTTAGTTCAATTATGATAAAATTATATTTTATTTATTTTTGTTTTGCATTCTATAACACAAACAAAATTTTATTTCAAATCAAGTCTTCGAACAATTCTTAATCTAAATTCAAATAAATCAAATGCTGTGTGCCGTCCTGCTGTATGCACAATGAAACCCAGCCAGTCCAGTTGGCCAGGCCGGTCTGTGCAGCTCCGTAACTCAGTTAACTCAGTCCAATAATAACTCAAGCGCCTAACAGGTTAGTTGTGTTTCTACTCATCTATACAAATTGTTTTCTATATTACATTTAATATTACCGCATGAGGTGCGATTGGCATTGTCTCCTCCACGACAATGGCAGCTGCACCTCTGCTGCGAGTTTTGATTCGTTTTCCAATCACTCACAAGAGATAAACAAATAAAATGAAAAATATAAGAAAATTCTGAAAATCTGAAAATATTAGTGCAATAGACAGAAAGTAAAGCCGCTTTAAGCTGTCAAGTATAAAGAATAACGCAAAGAGAATATCACGTTGTTTTTTATTATCTATA